AAATCATTGCATTGACCTAAGTTTTTCAAAACTTTTTGAACATTGTGGTGAAAACAAAGAGGAAAGAATTCCTCGGGTTTTGCAAAATTTGATCAATTGAGAGAAAGAGAGACGTGCTAAGCCCTTAATGAATGAAATCATGCTTGTTAATATGAGTACTGAGAAGGATCCTAGCTTGATCTAGATTGGTTCTACATTGTCTTCAGCGCGAGCGATTAGTCGCTTTTCTAAAAAATTTCAACAAATGTTTTGCGCGGTCCTGCGAAGACCTGTGTGGAATCGCTCTTGAGATTGTGTAGCCTAGGATCGCTCTCAACCTCGAGACTCGACCCCTTGTTTTCAAACCTTGAACCTCATTTCAGAATGTTCAATGGTCAACCACAATAGGAGGCTTGTGTGGCCAGATCAGAAGCAGCCCATGAACTAGGGGCACAAAAATGTCAGATGCGCTCAAAGAGTCAAAATTGGGACACTTCTCAAGTCAATAAAGATCGGCAAGAATGCCAAATCCCAGAAGGGAGGAAAGAAGAAAGTATTGCTGAAGGACAATCGAGTCTTTATCCACACCACTGGGGGAAATTCATACCCCAATGGATGGACTCCTACATCATCAGCAAATAGTAACCATTTTCCCGGATACAGATGGCTTCGAAATCTCAAACCATTTAGCATGGACCAAGCTACACTTTTACCCTTGAGAGGCTCGCTGGGTTGAAAACCCGGAAGGACGACCCAGGCAAAAGTTAGAGCGAGAAAAAGAAGAAAAGAAATTAAAAGAAAAGAAAAACAGAGCTCGCAAGGTTGAAAACCTAGAAAGGGCAGCCTTGGCAAAAGTTAGAGCGCAAAAGGAGAGATTAATACCCGAGTGTACCTTAGCTGGAACTACGTAAGCCTTGATTCCTATGTTTGGGATACGTAGGCAACTTCATTCTAAAGTCCAGCCACAAACACTTCTAAATCAATTGTGTCCATGTAATGGTTTAGATCATCTTTGTCATTTCTGTATCCGAGAGTTCGGTTGTCACCTTCATTATGAGAGCTGGTTTACAGTGTGCTACGGTAGTGTTCAAACAAGGGGCAACTTTCCGTTGCCGTGCAGTGCCGTTCAGACAAGGGGCAATTTTTCATTGTTTTGGATCTGAGATTGTGCATCTCGAGAGTAAATTCTGCGTTGGTCGAGTAGTGGCCCTTTGCAAAAATAGTTTTTGAGAATTTTTACTGAGGTTGACTAATTTTCTTGAAAATTTATTCCATTTTTCCAAAATCGGACCTTTCCTTGGACCCAAAAAAGAAAAATTTTCAGTACTCATAGCCTAACTTGCATGATTTCAAATCAGAAAATCGAACAAGCATGTTAGTCAATAAAGATCGACAAGAATGCCAAATCCCAGAAGGGAGGAAAGAAGAAAGTATTGCTGAAGGACAATCGAGTCTTTATCCACACCACTGGGGGAAATTCAGACCCCAATGGATGGACTCCTACATCATCAGCAAATAGCAACCATTTTCCCAGATACAGATGGCTTCGAAATCTCAAACCATTTAGCATGGACCAAGCTACACTTTTACCCTTGAGAGGCTCACTGAGTCGAAAACCCGGAAGGGCGACCCAGGCAAAAGTTAGAGCGAGAAAAAGAAGAAAAAAATACAAAGAAAAGAACAAAAGAAGAAAATGAAAAGAAGAAAAGAAAAGAAATTAAAAGAAAAGAAAAACAGAGCTCGCAAGGTTGAAAACCTAGAAAGGGCAGCCTTGGCAAAAGTTAGAGCGCAAAAGGAGAGATTAATACCCGAGTGTACCTTAACTGGAACTACGTAAGCCTTGATTCCTATGTTTGGGATACGTAGGCAACTTCATTCTAAAGTCCAGCCACAAACACTTCTAAATCAATTGTGTCCATGTAATGGTTTAGATCATCTTTGTCATTTCTGTATCCGAGAGTTCGGTTGTCACCTTCATTATGAGAGCTGGTTTACAGTGTGCTACGGTAGTGTTCAAACAAGGGGCAACTTTCCGTTGCCGTGCAGTGCCGTTCAGACAAGGGGCAATTTTTCATTGTTTTGGATCTGAGATTGTGCATCTCGAGAGTAAATTCTGCGTTGGTCGAGTAGTGGCCGTTTGCAAAAATAGTTTTTGAGAATTTTTACTAAGGTTGACTAATTCTCTCCAAAATTATTCTATTTTTTCAAAATTGGACCATTTTTTGGACCCAAAAAGGAAAATTTTCAGTGCTCATAGCCTGACTTGCATGATTTCAAATCAGAAAATTGAACAAGTGTGTTAATCTAACTCTCATATTGGTCAAAATTGTTTTAGTAGACAACAAAAACAAAAAATGGTCAAAATGATAAACTAGGGGCACAGTTGAGTCAGGTGCTCTGACTTTTCCCCATTGTCAACATACTTGCCAAGAAGGGCATCATCCCTACCAGAAAGGGGACAGTTGAGGATAACAAAGAAGGGCTGAAAGCTCTCTCATCCTCCGAACAACGAGGTATCAAGCCAAGTGCGAAGCACAAATTGGAATGGATCAAGATATTCCACTCCCTCATTCGGGGCATCAACTAGACGTCACTGAAGGAAATAGCTGCGAGTTGAATATTCTGGGCATGAACCCACAACCTTCATATTTATCCATCAACCACCCAGGGGATGGATAAAAAAATCAGAGAAATTGAAGAATAGAGAGATGTGCGTTGAGAGAAAAAGTGAGAAAAGGGTTTTGAGAGAAAAATCGAACCTGAGGGTCGAGTGATGTGAGAATCACAAATAAGAAAGGGTAGGAAACAATACCTGGAGAAACTGGCTCCTCATGATCTGACAGGTCTCTCATCTTTGTAATACGTCTGAGTGTCGTGTTGGTTGTGTTATTTTTCTCAATTCTTGTTTTGAGTCGTTTCGAGTGTTACTCGATGTGTTAAGGTTGTTTACCTTTTGTTTTTCTTTGTTGAGTCATTTTGACTACGGTCAGTTGTAGGCTCAATACCCGGTTGAGAACCCCTTTCTCATTTCAATTTCAAAAATAAATCATTTTGTGCTCAGAGTGTTGTGCTATTCTCCATATTTGTGCAAAACAAGAATTCGTTCTTTTATAAACTGCAGGGTCCAACCCAGGTCATGTCAGAACAGTGGAACCAGGACCTATCTGAAGCTATGGGTTCCAGATTGCGAAGCAAAGGAAAATAAGGAAAATTCGGAGCATCTGAGTATGTTTCGACTTCTGCAAGTTCCCTCTTTACATCCCGTGTGAGCAGAATAAACAGAATACTGTATTATGAGTTGTGTGTTCAGAATGAGCAGTGTTCAGAATGGGCTGTATGTTCAAAATAAGCTGTGAGCAGAATAAATCAAGTACCGTGTTATGGGCTATGTGTTGAGAATGGGCTGTGTGTTCAGAAAAACAGAGTACTGTGTTATGGGTTGTGTGTTCAAAATGAGCAGTGTGCTGTATGAGCTGTGTGTTCAAAGTGAATAGAATGTTGTGTTGACCATTTCCATGCCAGAATGACGATCAGAAGTGCTCTCCCTAAGTACCAACCCCTGCCAGAGGCATCTTGGCTGTGTTTGCAATGAGTTCCTAGGAGATCAACTACGACGGTGGAAACTAGAGTTCAAATGGTTGTTGCCTAGAACACAAAGGTTTGGAATTTCCGAAACTAAAGTCTGGTTTAAATACCTAGGGGTGTATCCCTGACTTGAAATCTGTATGGAAGCCCCATAGGTTGAGATAGTAGGTACGCGTCTCGATTCTGGATACTGATCCAACCTAGTCTGTCACCTCGTTGAAGAATAGGGAAAGTTGTGAATATGATCAGGAAGAACCCCAAACCATTTTATTATCTTGCTTCATTTTATTTCAATTTTAACACCTCTTTTAATAACCTTTCCATATATTAGTCATTTTAGTCCAAAATGAGCATTAAGTCCACTAATGGAAAGAAGTGTCAAACAAAGGGTTGTTTTAGGCATGAGAGAGATGTCATGCCATTGGTAATGAACCTCCAAAGAGATTAAACCATTAAGCACAACGATCTCAATCTCAAGCTTAAACAAATAATCGGTTTGAAACGACTCTCAAGGCAAGGAAGAAGCCAAGAAATGAGAGAAGTACAGAGATGATTAGAGATAAACACAAGTACGGAAAGCTTGAAATAAATGCTATTAACACTATAACAAAACTAACTATTCATGGCATCATGTTTTCGACATGCATTAAATGCATGTCGTAGTTAGTACATTCTACGACATTTTTTTTTTGTAAGCCGTAAATGTTTTATCAATAACAGCATACATACTATGTAAGTCGTTGATTCATATATTTATAGCATGTAAAAGTATGCCATAAAAATGTATGTTTTTACGACTTACAAAAATTTGTCATAAAATATTTACACTTAAGACGACGTACATTTCATGTTATAAAATATTATAACTTTACATAGCATGCATTAATATGTCATGAAAACTTCTGGAAAAAAAAAAAAAAAAAAAAAAAATTCAATCCAAATTTTTTTTATGGCATTCAAAAGCATGCCGTAAAAAATGTATATTTTCACGGCATACAAAAATATGTCATAAAATATTTATACTTAAGACGACATACATTTCATGTTATAAAAATATTATAACTCTACACGGCATGCATTAGCATGCTGTGAAAACTTTTATTAAAAAAAATTTTAATCTAAATTTTTTTTTTGATGATTTAAAAAAACTAACAATTTTCAACCAAGCTTCTCACCTTAAATTTTTCTAATTGAGGACAATGTAAAAAATAATTTATACATTATTTTATAATTTAGTGTCTTTTTTTAAGGGATTATTGCACCCAGTGGGATTTTGAAAAAAATTATATATCACTACAGGAAATGCTTGTTTTAACAGTGTTTTTTTAAACTTTTTATAATATTTAACGACATTTTATGAGTGTCGCATTTTGTATTAATTAAAACGGTACCGTAGCTAGTACAAACGCCTCCAAATGTGCTACAATCTTTGTTGGGCTCCCTCAAGTCTCTGGCTCACTCTTTTCACTTCAACTCGGTGATTTCAATTTTGTAGAGCAGCTTCTTTATCATAAATCAATACCTTGTGTCCCCTTCTCATAAATCAATACGTAGCTCGGTGATTTCAATTTCGAAGTTCTCTCTCTCGATTTCGAAGCTTCACCGCCACCGCTATTTGCATCGTCTACTAAGGTGAGCCATCGTCATCGTCATCGATTTCGATTCAATCTCAATTTCGTATTCTCTCTCTCTCTCTCTCTCAAGCTCTTCATTCCGTCGATTCTTCTCCTCCGAGGGTTTACAATCTTGAATTTCCTCCTAGGGTTTGCCCCTTGCTATTTCAAGCGGTATATTCTCTCTCTGATGTAGAAGCTTTTCTGTTTTACGGAACATCTTGAATCCCAATGTCATATATTCTGCATTGTTTGGTTAATTGTTATGCCTCTTAGTTTAGTTTAGTTGGACAATGTTCTTATGATGATTTAATGTGATGTACTTTTTTGTTGTCTCTTGCTTTGGATGTTGTTGAGCTATGGATGATCACAAAGTGATCAAAACTTTTGATCGCTTGAAGAGATTGAGAACATTTTGCAACTTTGGCCATGTTAATTTTCCATGTAAACTAATTTTTATTTTCTCTAGGATATGTTTGGATCTTGTATTTGTGGAGGGAAAAGTGAATGAAGTAAGAGCTAAATTATTTAGGCATCCACATAAAGTGGGGGGTGCTTACCATTTATGCCTAGCACTCTATCGAGGATACTAATTCATGTGCTCAATTGGTTTGGCTTCTACTCTGACCCCTTGAATTGGTATGAGGGTAATTTGGATCTAATATACAATACTTGCTCTAAATCTCTGCTCCAATTAGGTTATAATGCACGTCTGTTTTTCCATATTGATGATGTAAAAACCACAATTTGAATTGGGAATGAAGGTAAACTATGTAGATAAGGAAATATTTGGGTTAGAGCTTTTTAGCAATTATGTTAGGTTTCTCTTGAACTCATAAAATGGCTGAAATACTTTTTTGTATCTGTTTTTCCATATTGATGAAGTAAAAACCACAATTTGAATTGGGAATGAAGGTAAACTATGTAGATAAGGAAATATCTTGGGTTAGAGCTTTTTAGAGTGGTAGCTCTTTTCTGTTTTGTTTATTGTCTTTTAATGGAGTGCATTTCCTCTCTCTCTCTCTCTCTCTCAGTTTACTTGCTCATTGCACTAACATCACTTTGTACTCATCCTTATCAGTGCTATAATAAGAACTGCGCTGTTTGTTACAAATCCTGTTCTCTTCGATAGGGAATGGTGGACAGGCTGATTAGTCGAATCGAAAAATCTGTGAGAAACACTGTTGGGTGTCAAATATGAATGCATGAGGTGACATGGGAGTGGCCTGGGCAGATTTTGGTTGAGTGCTAAGATATTCTTCAAAAAAAAAAAATTTCCATTGATATAATTTAGCAAAGCATATACATAAGTTATTTATTTATCAGAGTTCTCCTTACTGTTATATTGTTAGCTGCTCTTATTCCATCATAGCAAGGTTTTGAAGCATATTTAAGGTTGCTATGCAAATATTTCAAATGCCACTCCCTTTGGCTGAGGTTGTTGGGAAGAAGGGTAGCATGTGGACAACAATAGGAATGTTTCACAGCAGCAAGATCTATTGCTCAATTGAAGAGACTCTGTAAGTGATGTAATGATGTTCTTTGAATTTTCCACTCTTATCCTCATTGTAATGATTTACGGAACCAGTTGAATAGTGTAGTTTATAGTTTGAACTCTGGATTATAAGTTAGTAGACACCCATTTTTGTTGTATTGCTCCTATGTTACTTCACATAAAAGTTTTAAGTTTTGAATCTGTTGTATATTTAATGTGATTTGCTGACCCACAGTTTTGTTAGCTTCATCAGTGTCGCAAGGACAATGATAGTGAAATGCGTATGATATATTTGTCATCATTGTTTTCCTATATTAAAAGAAATGTAAAAGGGTCTTTGTATTTGTCAGATCTTATTATAGTATTGACATCCAAGGATCAAAATTTAATTTTGGGTACCATTTCAATTAGTTTGAAAAGCTACATTTTGGAAATGATTTGCAAACATGATGGAAACAGTGAAATAAATTTAGAAATTCACGAAACATTAGATGCTATGGTTATGTTGAACATGTATGTTCTTTATTTATTTATTTATTTATATTTTTTTGTTTTGTTGTAGGTTTTTGGCTGAAAGAGGTGAACTAAGTCTCTTAGATGCTGATGATAGATCAGTTCCCTTAAAAGATATATATAAGAAGGTTACAGAAGGAAAGAGCGGATGTTGTTGGGAGTCATTTGAAGTCTACAGGCACTTGAGGTCACTGGGATACATTGTTGGGCGTCATGGTATCCCTTGGACTGTGAAGAGTATTAAGAATAAGCCTCCTTCTGTCGGAGGCACATTGGAGATTAAAGTGATAACAGATCAGAAATTTGAAGACCTAAATCTCGTCAACGAACTTTTCAATAATATAAGGATTGATGAAGTTAGACCTGTATTTGATGTTTACCCTCCCAATAGCAAATTTAGAAAGTCCTCTCCTGGTAATCCAAGTTTCGTTCTCTGCATGACCAGGTAATAAATATTGTTAACTCTTATATGACCATACAATTGTGCTATAAAATAGTGATGCAAAATTGTTGGACCATATTAGCTTGAATATAATGCATTTCTCCAATGCCTCGTAGTTAAAAACATGTGACAAACATGTATTGACTCGTGAGTAATCCATGGATGCAATTAGTGAAAGGCCCTGATGCTTTTTCGGAGCTTTTCTAGTCAATTATAAATGGATTATTCACATATGTGTCTTACAGTCTTTAAATTTCCATGAGAAATGCACCTCTCGTGGACAAAGAGAATCATTTACATTATTGTATCCATGGGAAAGATCTGGTTATAGTTCATACTCACCAAACTCTAGAAAATTGGTTTTGGTTCTGAACTATCTAAAAGACTTTTTCAAAGATCTTCTCTTGTTCACTTTCCCTGCCCTGCCCTTTCCACAAAACAAAATGTGTCATTGACAGCTCATAGAAGCATTGGCAACAGCTCAAAAATGGCCCCTTAGATCAGTTCTTGCCAAACCCTACTGGTTGAATGGTGCTGGATTGTGCTGCATGGGCATTGTATTTTATGAGGATGAGGTTTTGAGTGGTCCGTTATGTGCTTTTTTCGAAAGTAGGTTAATGGTCCTTTGGGTGGCAAGATGATGGGCAAAAAAAAATTAATAATAATAAAAATAAATAAATAAAATTGGGACTTCCCCTTATTTAATTCAGTTCTTTTTATTGTCTTGGCTATCCAGTAGACCCTAAGAATTATCAGGTAACCTTAAATTATTGCTGCAGTTACTCCAAAAAAATTATTTTTGCTGGTAAAATGTTAGTCTAGGGCAATTATTTTAGTGGTTATTAAATATGATTTTTGGCACTTGAAATGCTCCTTTTGTTTTTCCTTTGTAGACATGGATCTGTATTTCTTGTTAAATCAGACTCAAATTAATGGTGATTTTCTTTCTCATGTAGTGGGCATCCGCCATCCAAGCCAAAGATTGAAGACCTTGAGAGATAGTGTAATGGCATTCCTTTGAAGTTCTGTCATGTTGAGTATGGACCTGTTAGTTTCTTCTCCTTTAACAGGGTGGAGCTCCCTGTCCTTCCTTGACATTCCTGTTATGCTGCTGCAACATTTGCTCTTCGAATCCCTACAATTGGTATTGGGACAAGGCCTTTTTGTATTGGCCAAGTTAATTGATTCTTTAGCTCTCTCTACTACTCCTAATAATGAATTAGACTTGATTGGCTTGTGTTGTGTATAATCTTTTTGCTTTCATTTGTACATATAATTTGCTATCCGATCTTGTAATTTGCTTTTCAAGTACTAAAGTGGGCATTATAGTGATATCACGTGTTCATATATTGAGTTTACTCATGTAATGAACTTTGAATTTGCTTCTATCTCTCTCTCTCTCTCTCTCTCTATATATATATATATATATTAAAAATAACCTTCTACGGCATACAAAATTATATTGTGAAAAGTGTAATAATTTATGACATGTAAGAAAATGTCGTAAAAGATTATATACGGCACACAAAGTATGCTAAAAATATATTAATAATAACCTTTTACGACATACAAAATTATGTCGTAAAAAGTGTAATAATTTATGACATACAAGAAAAATGTCGTAAAAGATTATATACGGCATACATAGTATGCCATAAATATATTAAAAATAACTTTCTACGGCATGCGAAATTATGTCATGGAAAGGATGATGATTTATGGCATGCCAAAAATGTCGTAAAAAATTATCTACGACATACAAAGTATGTCATTAATGTTTAATTTATTACTTTTTACAACTTTACCTGCATGTCGTAAATGACATTTGACTTTCCACGGCATGTCATATAACAGCATTTGTGTGCATGCCGTAAAAGAGTTTTTACGGCATGCATTGTAAGCCGTAAAAATTCAATTTCGCTGTAGTGTAACTCAAACAGGTTGGTGTCTAATGCCTAAAACACCAAACCTATGAGGATCGTTATGCTACAAGCATGCAATACAAAACATAAATGACATGAACAACTTAAAATAGTCCTAAAATAGGCTAAAAAAGTATTGAAATTAAGGTAAAAACACTTACAAAAGCAAACTAAAATAATAGAGCAATTAAGCTAGTAAACAAGCCAAAGGAGGGGAGGCAAACCCCTCCATTTTTGGGACTTCAAAACCACATTTTAGCCTCTGAAAAGCCTCTGAAATTCAGTAATAAAAAGCTCAAAAAGAGGTAATGAAAAGGTGGGAAACACAAGGGTAAAGGCCTAGGAAGTAAGGTTCAAAGAAGGGTGGTCAACCCCTCTACCTTTAATGGCCTTAAACCACAAGTTTTAGCCCATAAACACAGGTGAAAAACAATCCAAAAACAGTAAGAAAAGATAGGAAAGAAATAGTGCAAAAGAGCTAGGATGTATACCTCTTGAAGATGAGTGATCCTTTGAATTACAAACCACTAATTTCACACCCTTAAGAGCTAAAATGCAAGCTCAAACACCTCAGCAAAGAGCCCTCAAGGTTTGGTTTAGAGTGTCTAGGCAAAGTGTATAGAAGTTGCAAGGGAGAGAGAGAAATGTAGAGAGAGAAATATTTTTCAAAACTTTGCTCCACAAATTTTTCTAACCCTAATTTTTGAGAGAGAGTCATCTATATATAGAAATATATGAGACTATCTCGAAAATATCCATACTGACACAGCTGGTGCAATGCATGCATCTGTGGAGATAGCTGGCACAGTTGGCAAAAAGATCTGAATTTTTACACAAGTGGGCAACAGGCCACTAATAGTGGGCGTCCGGCCATTAATAGTGGGTAGCAAGCCAATAGTGGGTCTACAGGTCCCTGGATGGTTAGGCTTGAAAAACTACTGTTTTAGTCAAAAAACAAGGCATAAGGTTTGTAGGTTTTTGAGGCTCAAAACTGAGGTTTCTTACTGAGGAAATCAAGCATTTGGACAAGCATATAAATTCATCAGTGGGTGATCAATTGCTGGCGCCCAAGTCTTAATGATGGTCAAAAATGGGGTGTCTATAGTTGCCCCTCTTTGACAAAGCTCGAAATTATGAAATGACGTGAGTGAATGTCAAAGCCCAGAGACGACCCATTTTGACAAGATCGTAAGACTTGGGCAAACAATCAAGGCATAAATTAAATTGGTTGAGCTCGAAAGCTGCCTACATATCCCTTTGTAAGGAATCAAACTAGCGTAGTTCAGGGGCAAGATACAAATGATATGCACAAAGAATATACTGCTGGACTCACACGCCTCGCGAAGCTGGTTATTTTGAAAATCCATGCTCATGCAAGATGATGCAATAAGCAATAACAAAATAATTGCAAAGAAGTCCAACCACGTTTCATGTGGAAAGAAATAAAAACACACTAACCACACCGAGATCGTGAGTAGAAGGCCGTGCCTCCGCACACCCCGAGATGATACGATAGATGCACAAGGCAGTAAGAGTGTGCGACAGATGCATAAAGTGAGCAGGTGCGATAGATGCACAAAGTGAACGAATACGATAGATGTACAAAGTGACCGAGTGCGATAGATGCGTAAAGTAAACGGGTGCGATAGACGCACAATGTGACCGAGTGCAATAGATGCACAAGGTGAACGAGTGTGATAGATGCACAAAATGAACGAATGTGATAGATGGACAAAGTGAACGAGCATGATAGATGCATGAAATGAACAAGTGCGATAGATGCACAAAGTGAACGAGTGCGATAGATGCACAAAATGAACGAGTGTGATAGATGCACAAAGTCAACGAGATTGAAAACCAATATAATGACAACGCATGTTCTATGCAAGATTATAGACAATCGACACATGATGTTAATTGAAAGTATGTTCTATGCAAGAATCAAAAGTATGTTCTATGCACGAATCGAAAGCATGTTCTATGCACGAATTGAAAGCATGCTCTATACAAGATATTTGAAAGCGTGTGAGTTATGAACGATGCAAGGCGCACATGCAACATAAGAGGTATGTGAGAGTGCACGTTCTATGCAAAAGAAGATATCAAATATGTAAATCGACAAAACGAACAAAAGCGACGTTCGACGACAAACTCCAACGTACCCCTTAGAGGCTTTGCAAAATGCTCAAAATGATACAACTTGTTCATATTTGAAATTAGGACACGTTTGCGTGCCGGAGTACATCGGGCATTGGAACGGTGCAACTAAAACACAATTTCGAGCTCGTCGGAAATCAAATCCAATTCAAATACCTCAATCCTTCTTTCCAGACCCAAAAGAGGACCCCTCATATGCTGTTAGGGAAAAAGGGGAACAAAACTAGCACTAGGCCACAAAAGAGGCTTGCCGGCCACTAATAGTGTACGACTGCCCCCTTTTAGTGGCCTACCGGCCACTAATGCAATTTCAGGGGCAAAAAATGGGATTTAGGCACAGGTCTCTTTAAATACACCACCAAACCTCATTTCCTCACACACCCAAGTTCGAAATCACTCTCCCTCTCTCTAGGTGCTTCATCTCTCTAGATTTATGTTTTGTACGCGTTGTCCAACGCCCCATGCAAACTTTATTTGTAAACCCTCTTTTGCCTTCTTCACTTTGAACCGATCAGATTTTGTTTTCGTTGATTTTTTAGAGTTTTCAACACCTTGGGCTTGTTCCCCTCGAGTTTCTCTTGGGTTTTGTGAACTTTCTTGGGTTTTGACTTTTTCTCCCATTTTCTCTCTTCTAGGGTCGACTTTTTCTAAGTTTTCCCTCTTTTCTCTATTTTTCTTCTACTTACCAGATGGTAGACGATGTCCCACATGATGGTGCCCCTCCCGGGGTACCTATGCTTCTACCTACTGTCGAGGTTGAGGTGCCTATAGCTGGTGAGGCTGGTGAGGCAGTGAAGGACATTGTCACTGAGCCCGAGGCAGAGGCAGAGGTCCCCAGGGCCCGAGCCTAAGTTACTACCATTGAGGGTGAGGCCCTTTGATCCAACCACTTACCACCCCCGCACGCACATGATGGCGTTCGGAGGCATCAAGCACTTTGATGATTTCATTGATGACGTGCCGGAGGATAGTTTGCTGAGGGAGCCGGACTCCCACCTTTCCCACGGTGCTACTGAGGTACAAACTTTATTTTTATGCTTTCCTGCCTTTCATTTGACTCTTCTTTTCTCACCACCTTTTATCTAATTTACTCATTCTTTTCCACATGAGGACTCTCGCACTTGTAGGGGTTACGGGCAGTGACGGCCAGGGATTAGTATCACGAGCTTCCTCCTCGGGTCCGTGACCTTGTCGATAAGTCAGGCTTTGGCTTACTCTGTACCGAGCTCTCGCGCTACATGGCTAGTCAGACCCTACTCGGGACATTAGTGGAGAGGTAGTGGGATACCACCAACTCCTTCCACTTCTCTTTTGCTGGAGAGATGACGATGACCCCCTATGACTTTTTGATCATGACAGGCTTAGGAGTAGGGGGTGATCTGATCCCTTTCGACATGGACATGGGCCAGTGGGAAGCGGCCTGGTTCTACCTGCTCGGAGTGAGCCCGCCCTTATCCAGGCCAGCTATAGTGTAATACAGTTGGTTCCTCGAGTGCTTCCGAAGGAGTCAGCCTGAGACTTAGGAGGAGGTAGAGCAGTACACCCGAGGCTTCTTGATGTACCTTCTCGGTACCACCTTATTCGCGAACAAGTGGAATACCTTGGGTTTCTACTTAATGAGCGCCCTTATGACCTTGTCTCGGGTCCGATTTTATGATTGAGATGGAGCCGACCTTGCCACACTCCATGGCTACATGAGCTCCACTTCCCGTATGAAGGGAGATAGGGTCGGAGGCTACTAGGTAGCCTGGGAGGTGTGCACTGCACCTTCGATTCTGTTTACTTCTTCTTATGCTTTTTGCTTTGCATTTTCTGTCTTATATCTATTCACACACTGTGTCTTCTGCTTTGCATTCTTTGCCTTATATCTGTTCACACACCGTGCCTTCAGCTTTGCACTTTTTGTTTAATATCTGTTCACACACCGTGCTTTCTGCTTTGCATTCTCTACCTTATATCTATTCATACATCGTGTCTTCTACTTTGCACTTTTTGTTTAATATCTGTTCACACACTGTTGATGCACACTGTTGATCTTTTCTTGCAGTTGTGGGCTTGCGTCTATTCTCTGGTCCTAGTTCCAGAGCCGATGGATAAGATTGCTTTGGCTGTGCCCTACTCGCGGTAGTATGATGGCAGGTGCCGCCACCAGAGTCGTGAGGACATGACCGTTGCCTTCTATCATTGCTACTTCGACATAGTGGTCACCCATAAGGTAATTCGAAACTCACAGTCATTTTCTCTTTATTCCCATTGCTAGTGTTCTGAGCTATATTTTGACAACTGACAACAACTAACAACTTGTAC